TTAAATAATGGTAAGTGGTCTACTTATACAAAGATACCTAGTAAGAGGCTAATAAAAAGAGATTAGTAAGCTAATCCTTCTCTTATTATAACTATAGCTTAATGCCTAGTAAGGTATATGGCGTCCATTACTATTAGTGCCTTTAATGGTGGTAGAGTCATAGGATGGGAAACTTTAAGTACCTAGTCTAGAATAGTTTATACTGGAGCGCGGTAAAGCCGACGAATAGGTAAGTATAGTAGTCTAATATAGATAATAACTATAACATAGATTATTAACTAAAGCCTATAAGGTAGAATTAAATAGGCTAGGGTGGCTTATCTTATAATGACCGGTTGTATAATCACACGACATATCACTTTTCCGTAGTATATCTAGGTGTCACTATTAGATGGCATGGTAAGTTATTTAAGTAACTAACACCCTCATACTTACTACTAATAACCACGCCGCAGCGTCACACCGTCTAGTGGCCTAATATCCCCACGAAAGGTAGTAAGGGTGGTAAATTTCGTATACCGTCTTTTACCATAGGTACCCTTATACGTAGAGAAGATATTTTAAGTATACTTTATCTCCATGGCTTATAATGTGTATTATAGCTTGTGTTAACATTAATTATTTAATATACTTCCCACTAGATCATAATATTAACATATCCTACTACGCGACCGATTCCTCTACTACTAGATTACGTAGTAGACTTAATATGCCTTAGATAGATAATTAGTGTAAGTACTATTATGTTACGGATGCGATGCGCACTAACGGTGAACCTAGAAGATATAAACTAGTACTTCTTTACCTACCTACTACTTCTCCCACTCACGATATTCTATGGTATGTAAGATTTTAGGATCCACTTCCTATGGCTTAGCTAATAAAGTATTTAAGTGCTTTTAATAACTAGGTATCTACCTGGACTATATAACATCTACCTTATTAAGCTTACCATGCCTATAGCTGGCGGCTCAAGTCCTCTCGATATCCAAATCAGCTATTTTGGTAAACTGATTCCCATCTCTCCTTAATTTTTTTTGGGGGGGGGAGGCTAATGGCCCTATATAGGGTTATACTCTAGATTATTATCGAATCTTACCTACATGCCTTCGTAGGGTACGGCGGTATTAATCTTAATGTCGAAGCTTTAATAATACGCCGCTCTACCTCTAAATGGCACGGATCCTAAACTACTTATCTAGTTCGCCCTCACGCTTTAGGGTTATATATTCCCCCCCCTTCTAGCTGTATTAGTAATAATGTTCTACGTTACGCTAGTCCCATTTACTCTTTTAAAGCTTTACATCCGCAAAGGCTAATAAGTAATGCCAAAAGACCCCCCCACGGCCATTTGGCAACATATGGAGACATATAGAAAATGGACACTCCTCTTATTCTAGGTAGCTACGGGACTAGCACTTGCCTCTACTATTACTATAACCCAAACGGTGGTGGCTATTAAATTCATTACACTATAGCCAGTCTCCTCTAGCAACAGCATAGCATTAGCTACTATAGAAGATAGTAGTGGATCTTCTCTAGGTCTATTTACATTCATAATTACTATAGGGAAGGTATAGTAAGCGCTCTAGTGGTCTACTACAGCATATATATTCATCTTCTCGTTGGCTACATTAGCCATGTATAGTCAGTTATTCATTAAGGATACACGCGACCCCTACTTAAGTAGAGTACCCCTACCCCTACTACCTAAGCCAGGAGGTAGCGCTGCACCTATAGTGGTAGCTATAAAGCCGCTAGGCCCTACTCTAAAACTATAAGGCGATGGAAAAGATGTTATTCTAGTAGCTATCTCCCTACGCGATTTACTCGGCTAGTAGTAATATTCTTTAGATAGCTTAGTAATACGCTTCATCTATAGCCTTTAACACTCTCCCCCTCCTTTCTCTACCGGGATAAATCGACTTTAATCCTTAACTCTATTATATTTAGCCTAGTAGTAGAATCTACCTACTAACTCTCTTAAAACAACTAAAGGGCCTACCACCTACCCTTTTTAGAGTTTATCTTTTTTCTTTACTTATTAATACCTCGCTTTATAAGTATACCTTTTTATTTAATAACCCTATCTTTTCTTTAGCGCTATTCCTTTCTATATTACCTAAATAGTAACTACTATAGCGTTACTTATAAACTCTCCCTATACCCTTACTATTAATCGTCTCCCAAGCCATATCTAATAAGCCTGGAACTTTTACTCATAGTCGCCCTAAAAACCATACTACCAAATAATCGCTAATCCCTCTTTAATCCCTATGGCAACTCTTACTAGCAGAATCACTACGTTCGGCCACTAGCACTTATTATTAATGTCCTACCCTGTTATACACCACCTCTAGCTAACCCAGCACCTTTAGTAGTTGTGGTAATCCCTAGCGTTACACATACCCCTCTAAAACTAATCTAACTCTACGCCTATATACAGCTTCTCTACCTTACACTATATAGTCTTGTGTACTTACTAGTCCCTATTACCTAGTACCTAGCACGTCATATAGCCTACTTACAACTTACTTATAAACTCCTCTACCTCCTACCAGCCACTAGCTGCTTCTAACTATAATTATTACCACTCGGCTTACCCCTCCCCACATTAATTATACCCTACTAACTTAATGTCATTATACATTACCCGCATACCGTCTATATACTTACTTATATATCCTCGTCGGCATCTATCACTCTAAATAAACGTACCCATTACATAGACGTCTATAGAATCCCTACTTTACCATAGCTGCCTCTCTACTTCGCCCTACTCTATAATAATAACTAAGTTAGTAACCTTACTACCGCGCCCAGCTCACCCGCTCTCCTAATAGTAGTTAATTATGCTCCACGGCATCCCTACGTGTAAGATAAACACAATGCTAGGAAAGTCCACCCTAGTGCCAAGCATAGATGTGGTTATAATAAAGCCCCCTTACGCTAGCCACCGCTCCAGACGACCTATATAATCCTATACCCCAGCATGATAGCATATACACTATAGTGCCTCCACTAGCTTCTTACACTACGCCTTAGCATGGTAGTAGATAATGCCTTTCTTACCTTTCCGCAACGCCTATACCTACCATTAGCTTATTACTAGCGCTATCTCTATTGCCTTGCCTTGGGCGCACTACAATATAAAATAGCGGATGTTTGGCTATATAGTGCTGGCTCGGATATAAGTGGCACATAATATTAATATATCCTATATAAGCACTTCTTCTAGTGCTAGTAGGAGGGTTGCTATTAGTAAGATAATTGGGTAGGACAGCATGCGAAGATCTTAAAGGCTAGTAAGCTTTAGACGCTAATGGCTAGACGTGACAACTAGGTGGCATTTATTAATTACTACCCACTATAGCAGCTTCCTCTCGTTGAGTAAGATTACATACTATAGGAAGCTTAAGCTGCTGGTAACATTAGTACTCATAATAATAATAGAGGTAGGGTAGTGTGTTTGTACCTATGTCCATTTAGCGTAGGTAACCCCGCTCTATAATATCCTTTGCACGTGGTCCTCGATTAAGGCTTGGAAGGGAACCATGAGTATGGTGACCCTGGCGCCTAGTATAAAAGCTGGAACTATGAATAATAAGCTCTTCCCCCCACCAGTTGGAAGGACAATAATAAGTAGTGTTTGGCCTTAAACTATAGTATGCATAGCCTACTCTTGTTCCCCTAACTTAAACGAAACCTCTAAGCTTTTTAGGACATACTACATAGCCGTTTTAATATTCTTTTAAAGATTGCTAGGCTCTAGTTTAGCCCACTTTAGATACGGATTAAGAGGCTATCCTACTAGGGTACTCTTAGGCTCACGCTACTACTTATACGTTTACCTAACCTATAGGCTACTAACCTATCTACTATTTATCTACTTCCTAAGACCTAGGAAGTTGTGCCATGCCTTGCTGAGCGGTTAAAAGGTCTTAATTAACCAATTACTTAGGTGCTTAATGATATTAATTGGCATGCTATATATAGAGACGCCTATTGCTATCATCTACAAATTCTATAGCTCTAGTGGGCTCTCATCTTTAGCTTTAGGCTCTTCTTCCTCACTAACCTTATCCTGGTAGCTACAGCTAAATGACTCTCCTATAACCACTCTTCTAATGCCAATAGTAACGTATTAATACTCGTGTATATTAAGTACTACACCTAAGCGCTTTCCCATCTCCTACTTTAAAGCTCGGGTCAAACGGTCTGTTCCCTATGGGCCATAACTGTCGGCCTAGATATAGTCGCTAAACAAGCCGCCTAGAACCTTAACCTATAGATACTCCGCGAACGGCTATATATACGCCAGGTAGATGGTAGTAATCTAGCCTAGCCGTATAGGTAGGAAGCGGGGGATGACTTTAGGGCTATCCTACTATAATATCGATTTGTAGTAGTGAATGATAGTTATCATTACCCCATCTAGGACGACCTAGTTTCGATCCTATAGCGCGCCATTTCGAAACTATATGGCCGTAAGCTTACTACCTCAAGCCGGCTACCCATTAAATACATGGTAGGTAACCAACTTCTTGCCTAGGAAGCGGTTCATAGCTCGTAGATATTATTTCACCTACCAGATATTCTACTGGCCATTGGGTGCTCATAACCCCTGCCCTTCTTTACTTTTAAAAGCTTGCTCAAGCATAGATCATAGTCTATTAGTAAGCCCATTTTCTTTATTCACAAAGTACGAGCCGCGGCGAGAGAAGGTGATATCATCCTAGATTAAATTGAGCTGGATAGAAAACCTACCATCTTTGTCTAGGACCTAGAGCAATTCTTACCATATCTCCTCTTTAAGCTTAGTCATTAAGTCCTTTACCATCTACTAGAAGCGTTTAATCCTAATGGGTTTTCCCTAGTAGTATAAGATCTTTTTATCCTGCAACTATAGGGCTGCACTAGCATTTCTATTATTAAATATAATATGCTTACTAAACGCCAATAGGCTTAGCATCTCGCTTATGAGACTATATGAGCCGTCTACCAGAAACTCCCTTCACTTTGTCAGGAAAGCGGCCAGCTCATTGTCGGCCTGGCAATCACACTAGGATGCTAGGAGTAGTACTTCCGCCCTAAGGACCCGCACGTAGTACACGACCCCAGCTAGTAGGTACGAATAGTGCTTTACGGGACGTAGGCGGCCTACATCCACATTAATTCCTAGTATGGCTATAAAGTGGATGAGCCCGCTGGTAAAGATAAACCCATTATATTTATAGAAGATGAATGCTACTAGTATACGTAGCAATGCTTCTATCTAGCAACTTTCGTCTTGGCCATCTAGAGAAGCCTAGAATTCGCTAGCCAGGATCTTTTAGTTACCTTACCATGGGAATAGCTCCCGCGCGTCCTTTATTGGGTCCACCTAAGACCTCTCCTTCCTACTACTACTCTTCCTACTACTACTCTTCCTACTACTATTAGCACTCTCACTACTACTACTAACTATACTATTGCCGTTACTATCATCGCTCTCTCCTACTTCCATGCTAGATAGGGTGCGCAGGAAGTAGTACACAAATAGCTTTATGTAATTGGCGTAGCGAGCCTATAATTTGGGATTCTAGAGCCGCCCCTACGGTCGCTAATCAACCTTAGACACCTTTACACTCTTTAGCCAATACTGCGTCTCTCATAGTAGTGTCCGCAGCCTAGCTATATTCCTCTCTAGCACCTTCTCTACTAGGTCGCCAGCATGCTTTAGCTTTAGTTCATCTAGGCTGGGGAGCCTTACTGCGTGTGCCAGGTGCTTCAAGTTTCGCCTACCTAGATGCTCCAGCCATCTAGTCTAATTAAACCAACCCATCCTATTAGTCTTCACTACCTCCACCTCTAGAACCTACGCTTCCTCTTTACGTAGCTATAGGTCTCCTCTCTATTCGCCAAGTAGCGCCTTAATCTTATCTCCGTAATCCATAGTGGCCGGGCTACTCAGTTGGCCACTATAACTTACGATAAAGTAGCGCTACAGCCTAGGCGTCTTAAAGAAGGTCTACACTCTAACCTTAGTATATAGTTAAGTCGTGTCGCCCTTCCATAACTCCCTATACTTCTTCTTATAGTGCTTCCTCAGTCCATCTATATTAATTATGATGAAGTCGCATTCTTCTACGTTATAGTAGAACGCATCTATTAGCTCTCTAAGCACCTTAATCGGCTTTCCTAGCAGCCGTGGGAGACTAACCGTCTTTGGATCTTTAACCCAGAAGTGTTTGAAGTGCTCAACAATTATGAGGCGGATCTTCGTTGGTATAGTATGGTATTAGTAGAGATAGACGTTAAGATTCTATACACCAGCCTTGTAGCTCTTATAGATTAGGACCCCATACCTATATAAGTACTAGAGATGCTCCTTAATATTCTTAATAGACTACGCTGCCGTCTCCTAGGCGCCTTCACTAGTAATTGGTTATGGGTGCTGCAGCGCCAGCTATTAGTTATTTCTAATATTGCCAGTCCATGCGTCCCAGACGAGTTCCATAGATAACCCTAAGTCTATTTACCCTAACCCTACCACGCAACCCTAATAATGTCCAATTTGGGATGCAAAGTGACGGAGGCATGGGGAAAGGTAAGATGAATACCTTTCCTGTGAGATGATTTCATGGATTCGGGCTAGAACACACGCGGATTTGCCATACAGTTTTACCCCCTAAATTCCTGATCCTGCGCGCTCGAACCCTAACGTTAAACCCATTCTGGCATGGATTCGGCCAGATCCGTCGCTGCTTATCGGTTAGAATTTTAATTTTTATATAACCCTATTCCCTACC